TGAAATTTTACCAAACATATTTACGCACAGAAAATCTCTAGTATTTTGTTACATAAGAGCACTTAGTGATGCACATTATTGCATCTTTCAGAAGACCAGTGCAGGATTTCCACGTTCTACTCCATAATTTTCCTCTCCACTTAGATTTTTACATGGCCAAATGAATAACTCTTGAAGTCTTGATCCCAGCAGAGGAGTCTGCAAGGACAGTCCAGAAAATGTATACAGTATCCTAAGTACTAACTGAAGTTCTCTGACTGCCATCTCTGTAGCTACAAATGAAAAGAAAAAGGCATTAAACCAACACCTCCTCCTCTTTATTTTCCAGAACTCAGTTCCAGAAAAGTAGCAAGACAATTCAAAACAAACAAAAATATTTTTAAATGTATGGAAGAATTTAGAAAAACACAAAGTTAGTTTTCCACAAGGTAAGTCTGACATTTAATGTAAGTCTAACAACAAAAAAAAAATCCCAATATATTATTGAAAATCTAAAAGCAATGAGGGTCAGCAAAACTACTAAGATTGACAACAGCTGTGTTAGGTCTATATAGTCTACATATCAAAATTTAATAATAAAAGGAGGAGTGATGACAAATATTATTATGCAAACTTGTTAACAGTGTAACTAGCTATTGATATGTTCAGAAATCAGTCATTACTTACATTTTATTGAATATTGTTTTCAAAACTATGGTATAGCAAAACAAACTGTTTTTATTGCCAATAAAATGAAAGTTTATGTTGCCTGTCAATTACTGAAGTGAAATTTATTGAATCATACTGAATTATGGAAATGAGATCTTTATACACATTTGTAGAAGTCACTGAAAGTAGTAGATAATAATAGTAATGAGAGAATAATAACAATAACTCCAGATCAATAAGAACCTTTTTAAACACGTTATTACGTACTTTCTGAAAGTCCATAAAAAACTTGAAGAATAAAATTAATAATTACCTAAGATTTTCAGAGTACAACAGAGTTTTCATAATGAAAGTATGATAAAAGATGTAAAGAAACCATTTTTTAAAGTCATAATCATCATTTAAAATTAAAGGTTTCATGGGTGATAAAGTTATCTGTACACCGAACCCCTATGACATGCAATTTAGCCATGTAACAAAACTGTACATGTACCCCTTGAAACTAAATAAGAGTTGGAAAGAAAAAAAAGATAATATGGAATATATTTAAAAAAAAAAAAAGCTTTGTTACCACATGGACCTGATTTTGACTCCAGTTCCACTAGACTTTGTGACCTTTGGTATGTTATTTAATTTCTCTAAGCCTCAGTTTTGGTGCCCGTAAAATGGAGATAATAAATATGTATGTTGCAGTATTGTTTTGAGAATTAAAGATAATATCTGCAAAAATAAATAAAATAAAAAGTTTCAAAAGTCAGAAAATTAAATTGTAATTAAAATATTTTTCTCAAATTCATTTTTATTATTCAAACAATCTTACATATCCACTTCACTTCTCTTCTACTTTCATAATGAAGCTTTTCCAAGACTTGAAATATAGAGTTATATTAATGAATGCATTGCTTACTCAGTTGCTCACGCTATCAGTTAATAAAACATGACCACACTCTTACAGGGGCAGAGTTGCAAAAATGCAACAGACATATACTTCTCACTGGAGTTTCTAAATACGTATTACTGGCTCTTAAAAGAAGTAAATATTGTATTTAAGAAACAGCTATCCAAATATTTCACATTTTTTAACTAGGAAGAAAATTTTTAGCATAGCTAATTATTTTTCTAATTAACTATTTTTATATTCTGAAGACATTGTTTTTATTATTATAGTAGCTCTTTTAACCACTTGACTTTCATACAAATTAGCGAAAATAAACCAACTACCATTTAAAAAAATTTTTAACACATCTGTTATGACTAAAATATATATGTGTCTTTATAATTGTATGTTTGAAACTTTTCCCCCTTGTATATATACCACCACAGTATGGCTATTTGATACATGTTAAGAAAAAAAATCAGGGTGCTACTTGACTGTTTATGACCATGAAAAAAATGAATGTAAAAAAAAATTGTTAATCTTAAATGATGAAAACTTATTCATTTAAATATTCTTGGATAGACCACATACTCAAGACAGAATTCCAAATAGGACTTTCTTTATGTCAAGACTGAGACAGACGCTGCAAAATTAGTAATTCAAGATTGTAAAAATACTCATATTTTAGCATTCCATAGAAAGTTCTAGAAAATGTAACAGGTTGTTTTCAGTTTGTGATTATTTGTCACAATTTAGATAGTAAAATGCTTGAGGTCAGCTAGTGATCCAATGCCAGTTTAATTTGCGGATCTTCTTTCTCTCAGTCCCCACCTTTAGCTTGGGAACCTTCTCTCCTTGCAAAATAGACACTTTTTCCCCCATCCCCCCACCTCCACCCCACTCTCTCAGTAAGCAGTTGAAAAAATCTGCACAATTAAATTGATCTAAATCCCTGTGGGTTGCTTGATTAATTAAAAAAATTTTTTTTTTTCCATGAGAAGCCAGTAGGCGGTGCTAAATGTAGGCTACTACCTTCAACAATTTTAAACCAAAAACTAAACAGGTGGCCAGTTTAAGAGTTGTAGAATTTCCAGTATGATTCATACAGGAAGAAATCTGAAAGACTTGAATGTAATAGATAGAAATGTAATACAAGTATACAATATAATTAAAAATGAATCTTAAATAAATGAAAAAATAGATAACTAAAAGTTCTTAGAATGATATTGTTACAGAAATCAAAGCACAACTACCTCTCTATCCTCACATTAAAATTATTTTTGTTCCCATTTGAAACCATTTGATATCAAATGGTTTCAATCTCATTGAGAAATATCATATAGTACAGCCAGTGCTTTGCTCAATCTATGACAGAAACTACCTCAACCTTAGGGTAGCAACTGATTCTCTTAATGAAAATGCAGGTTCGATAACTCAAGTTCTTTCTTGCTTGCTTGCTCTGTCTCTTTCTCTCTCTCTTAAAAGAACAAAATGACTTACAATACATAAAATATACCAAATACATTATGCACATAAATTGTCTTGCATTTTTAATAAATGGGCATTTCTATGTACATACCTTGTTATAATTAAAAGGATTTTTAAAATCTCAGAATGTTGCAAATAGCTTTTATGAATGTTTTATGTTAGCAGTTTGAACCATATGAAGGACTGTATTTTAGTAATTAGCTCACTATACAAAACAAGAAAATACTAATTTCAGGCTTAGTGCCATCATATTGACTTCAAATCATAGAAGCACACACATCAAGATATCAAATATAGTATCCACAAACAGTGACATAAACTATCTTCTTTATATAAATGCAACAGGATTTCCTTCACAGGGAAAAGCTACTCTGAGAAAAATATAACTCACAATGAAGTGTCCAAAGGCTTTTGAGATACTTGCACTCGTTATGAATAAAAAATATATACACCTTTCCAGATATAATAGTAACTTTTAATCTTCTACAGAAAAATGGCCCTTTGCAACTGCTTACTTTTTTACCACAAAGAGTAAAAAATAAGGCATAAAACTTCTCATTCCACAAACTGAGGTTAAACACAGTGGAATATTTGCTTGAAAAAGCCTGTGTATTTTGTCCTAGGCCTCTCTGTATGTTGGAGTTAGTTTGTATTTCTGTAGTTACTTGAAAGAAAACTTCATCTGAGAAGTAAAAAGTTGTTTTATCTGCCTTATGTTTATTTTACAGTATCCAAATTATATACACATGATAATTTAAAGCTAAACTTTTCATTTAAGGGGGGAAAAGGTAAGAAAATAAAAGCTTCAAAATCAAATTATTTAAATAATGGTGACTCTTCAGATTTTCAGATGTATGCCTTTATGAAATTTATTTGGACAGAAAGATTTCCAGCAGATTCTGTCACAGTGTTAAATACCGAAAAAGCTTTTTATTGCTCACTGGTACATATCTGAAAAGTAATGCTAAATTATTCTGAAATATGTAACAGAATAATCATAAAATATCATAGACTACATTCAACACTGAGTACTTCGGTGCTACCAACACACGAAATCATCACCTTTGTCACTAACCCCTCACTCCTGCCCTGTACACAGTTCTCCGGGGAAAACCTTTAAAGTCGGTATCAGGCGGTTAAAAAGAGGAAAAACTCTGCCCCCTTAAAATTTAAACAGAAGGCGTTTTTATCCCTTACAGGTGTAGGGTCAGTAATGCAAACTAACAGCTTAGTCCTCAACATTAAACCCAAGTCACCATCATATAAGAAAACTATTTCCCAATCCCCTGGAAGACGATACCAGCAGGCACTTAAAACCAACGCAAAGCAACAGGGAAAGGAAAGATCCAAAAACAGCACCACTAAGAAAGCAAAATAGGCTGGGAAAGACCTACTGCGTCGTTTACTCATTGCGAGGAGGAGGAGCAGGAGTTGAGCGTGCGGGGGCTGCTGCCATCCTCAAGGCTCTGGAAATGTCTCGAGCTCTGGCCCGCGTGGCCTGGAAGCCAGCCCCTCCGGAAGATGCGGTCTCTGCCGCTTCTCCCCCCATCTCCCGGGTGCTCTGAAGGTCCCCGTTAGCCGACGGCCCTCTCCCGTCCTGCTGTGCAAGTGGCCCTCGGAGAACTTACAGGGCCCGCCGGCCGGCGCCGCCCGCAGCGCAGACGCCACCCGTCGGGAGACGACCTGGGCGCAGCTTACAGTGGGGTGTGCGGGGGGACTGTATTTTGCGCACATCTAGAACAAGATCCTGAGGCAGGGAACAGACTTTGGTCTTCCCTGGCTCCCGGCGCGGCTCTCCCCACCTCAGGCTCGGACACTGCCCGGGGATGCGCGCGCGCAAACACACACACACACACACACACACACACTCTCTCTCTCTCTCTCTCTCTCACACACACACACACACACACACACACTCACGCATTTCTTTGCTAGGACCAGTGTTGCCATTGCACACCCAGGAAACGCCTCCAAGGGGACCAAGTACCTGCTCTCTGCGAGCTGCTCAGCTGTTCACTTCATCCTCCGTTGACAAGGAAACCAAACCGCACTTCATTTTTTTTTTTTTTTTCCACAAAAACCTTCCACTGCCATCATTTGAAAATTGATTTACGGGGAGGGAAGGGGGAGAAATAAGGGATAATATAGATATAGATATCAGGATATCTATCATAAAATTATCTCGGTTTTTTAAAAAAGTCAAATGTTCAAAAGTCATAGTTAATTTAGAGGAAGAAAAAAGTATTTTGCTTAAAAATGATCCCAGTCACCAGCTGTAAGAAAAGTTTCATGTTATCAATGGGTATCAAAAACAGGAGGAAAAAAACGAGTTTGTTTTCACCGGCTTCCAAAAAGGGAACAAAAATATAAAATTAATGTCTTTGCTCAGTGGTTTGCACCAGTATTGCAAGACCACAAACTTGTAAACACTGCCGTAAAATCCCACCTATACAAAAAATGTTATCAGAAAAAGAGTATGCAAAAAAAGAGTTAGAAACATGCTTTTTATTTTTACAGAGGAAAAAAATAGGCACCATACTTCACATCGCTTTTTCCATAAAACCAGTTGCACATTTTGCTGGACTTGGGAGACGCTCCCAGCGGGCACGGTCGCCGCGGACTCCCAGACACAGCGCCTTGTCTACAGAACGATCGCATGCTAGAAAAACTTGGATTCAGGAAAAGGTTCAAAACCATGCTCCTCCAGCTTTCCCAAATATAAACAATAATCAAAGAAGTGAAAAAAAGAGAAAAAAAACAAAAACAAAAACAAAAAAAAGGACCAAAAAAAAAAAAAAAAAAAAAAAAGAATAGGACAAGAATGCCACTAAGAAGGTACTCACCGAGCGGGAGTAAAATGTTGGAATAAAAATGAGATTTAGTATAAAATACAGTATGGCGGTGGAAGAAGGAATGAAGAGCGTTTTTTTCTCGCAGTCTCTGCCTCAGGCACTGACACGTGACTCGGAGCCAGGCTGACTTGCAGGCAGCGGGGAAGGACCGAGGCTGCGAGGGGGGAAGCCCACGGAGCCCAACTCCGGCTGGCGAGGCGGCGGCGGCGGCGGCGGCGGCGGTGGCGACGGGGCCCGGCGCCTGAGAGCGGCAGCACCAGTGGCGGCAGCGGCGGCTCGCGGCGAGGCTGCCTCCGCTGTGAGCCCAGACGAGCAGGTGCCCCTCACGCTGAGGCTGAGCACACGCACACGCACACGCAAGACAGGCAGGGCGCGGGCGAGAGGGGGAGCCGAGCGGGGCTGGGCCGGAGGCGCGCAGCTGCCGCCGCCGCCTCGGATTGGGGGTGTGTGCGGCGGGGACGGCTCCGGGGGTGCGGATCCAGCGCCTGGAGAGGAGGTGCACAACTTGCTGCTCACCTCAAAGTTGTTGCTTGCCACTTCCTTGTGTATTTCATGTATTTTTCATCTCAAGGTAGTTACCTGGGGAGAGGTACCATCCTTTTCTCCGTGGAAGTTTTACTGTTCAAGCCCAAATGCACTCATTCGTTTCCCCCCCTGGTTTTCCACGTCCAGTCCCTCCCAAGCCGTCCCTGCCTCTGCCGTTCTCTCCTCCCTAGGTCCGCGTTTCCCCCTCGCGGTTCTCAGGGAACCTGGCTCCGCGCGATGCCGGGGGCGTTGTCACGGGCAAAGCCACCGTCAATCTTGACTGCCATCTGAACGCACAGCTACTCGTTCGCCGTCTTCAAGGGGGAATGCTTGCAGTTTGAAAGACACAACAATACCTCTTATTTAGGAAACCCCGGGTTTCTTTCTGCGGGTTTCGGAGCGAGCGGTGGGTGGGGACGTGGGTGTCTTTAATTTATTCATTCGTGGACCAGGCATTGTTTGTTTTGTCTGAGTGTGCGCGCGTGCTTCTGAGAGGGTCTGGAAAGCTCCGAGGGTCTGTGCTCCACGGCAGAGACTCCTGCCTGACTCTTGCTCAAGTTGTTGGCTGAGGCTGGAAGTCAAAGGAGAGGTTCAAGGGAAACAAGTGAGTCCATTGTGTGAGTGCTCGCCTGAAGGGAGCAAGCACTTGGCGGTCGAGAGGGGGAGACGTGTACCAGCAGCGAGGCAGCGCGCACCCCGCGGGAGCCCAGGTGGCTGAGCAGGGGATTCTGAAGGTGAGGGTGAGAGAGGGATTTCTCCACCCAGCATCTGGGTTAGGGCGCTCATGGATCGCCTGAACAAAGATGCCATCAGCCAATCGCTGGATGCGTTGGGCTTCTGTTACTGCCTGTTGAAGAATCAGCTTTGTGGATGCTGGAACGCATCTATGTTTCTTCATTTTTGTACAATACTCACATCAGGACCATTTCCCTGTGCTGCTTTGAATCTAGGTTGTGTGGAATTAATTGGCATCTCTATGTTTGAGAATGAGCAATTAACACAGTTCTGCAGTTCACAGATTCCTGCTCCCGATCTTTATCTCAATGTTTCCAGTGCTGATGTTTCAGATAAAATGCCTCCATCAGTGATGATCTAACCTCGACATTCTGAAAATTAAGTACACATCCCTTATACAGAGCTTCAGTAGCAAATATGGTTCTCAAACATTGTGCTCTAAATTCATTGGCCAAATAAAGTTTTAATCTGCAATTTAAATAAAAGAGATTTAAAATAGCCATTAAAATATCATTACATATTTATTTTGGTGCGTTGCCAACGGTACACGACTTATTATACATACTTTCCAGGGAGGATTGTTGATTAGAAATACTGATTGAGATAGATGAATACATCAAAGGAGATTTGGTAACTTTGAGAGCCTTCAGCTCTGTTCAGAAATCACAGGATTTTAAGCTGGCTAATGCAGATCAAATATTGTGCTTTCACTGTAAAACATGTTGTACTTTTTTTTTTTTTAATAAGATCTCTTTACACGTGATCTTTTTCTTCCATAACTCCTGAATTAATTTTATCTAGGATTTAAACCTTAGTTTGTTAAATTTTCCACATTTTCTCTTCCATTTGAAAACATAAGATTCTAAACATTTAAAAAATATATTATTTTAATGGATATCTTTTCCATTATTGATATCACAATGGTATTCAAATGTGAAAAACTTCACTTTAAAAACCTTTCAACCAGGCTGGGCAATGTCTGGATCTTAAAAGACTTATTCAAGAAGAACTTTGAAAAACAAGCTGTTTAGAATTGCACTGCAGTAATGGCTGTCAGCCAATCACAGTGATTGTCAGACTTTTATTATTCAATAAAATGACTCCCCTTTATGTTAAATGCAGCTCTGCTGAAGAAAAGCAAGATATCAATATTCTCCTTGCACTTTCCCCATTTACTTATATAATCACAGTAGAGTACGCAAAATATTCCACTATTGTTTATTTCCAATGTGCCAGTCTCATCTTTTTGGGTCGGAACACTGCATCATAAACAAGAGTAAACAGTCAGGTTGAGGCAACTGGTATTTAGGAAGTATAACCACTCCTTTAAGTTTTATAACAACTCTAAGACATTGACATTATATTCATTTTAATGATTACAAAAATAAAATAAAAAATTTTCAGTAATTTGCACAAGATTCTATTATTAGTACATAGAAAAAAAGATTGAACCATAATTATATCTGGTTTTACAGCTAGAATTTAAAAATCCAAAAAATACATCAAAGATACTGGGTACTTTTCCGTACTGTCATCAAAACCAATTAACAAAGCCGTGATTTTCTCAAATGCAGTAGATCTAAATTAAATTGGTGAGAATTAATTTAGTTCTATTATTGCCACAAATAACAATTGTAGTACACGTATTTATATTCACTTTTTTGATTCTATAAAATACATGAAGAAAATAAACAATATGCAGAGTCAAGGCGCTTAAATTTTTCTTGACAAATATTCTGTACAAAAGATGTGGCCATGTTATCCTGATTATGCCCTCAGGAGTTAACTAGAGAGACTTTTTCAAACAAAGATTTCATGTAAACTGTTCCTGTTGACGTCCATTCCAAATTAAGCCATGCTATAATTGAAAAGTATACTCAGTGTAAGATAAAACAAATAAATGAGGGTAATTGAGGAAAAAATCTATTTTAAAACATATGCTATGTAACCTCAATGTTTGTTTCTATTAGAAAACATTGAAGAAATATGAATAACTACATATATATAAACATATACATGTATTTTATAAATATAATCATAACTATATATAAAAAATATAAAATAGGTTATAATATCGTGGTTTAAATGCATACTTTTATATTCAGGACCCTCAAATCATCTTCTTTCATTTTGCTTGCTAATTTTTTTCATAACTTTATGATTTTTACTTTTGATTAATATTTTTCATTGTCCTATCTCTGCCCATGGATATACTTCACTGATACTACTCTTTCAAAGTCTGATTGCACTTTTTTGATATTTTTGTTTGGAGAAAGTACATATGCCAACACATATGAAATAATGTGTACAAATAACCAAAGAAAATATATGAAAATAAATATTAACATTATAATATGTCATGAGTAAAATAAAGCAAGAAGCATGATGATAATTTCTCTGTAATTTAATTTTTAACATATTTTTAACTGTTCCTTATATTTTTTGTAATTTTTATTTTAAGTTCAAGGGTACAAGTGCAGGTTTGCTACAGAAGTAAACTTGTATCATGGAGGTTTGTTGTAACAGATTATTTCATCACCCAGGTATCAACCTAGTACCCATTAGTTATTTTTCCTGATCCTCTCTCTCCTCCTACCCTCCATCCTCCAAAAGGTCCCAGTGTTTTATTTCACTCTTCACATAATATATTTATGGAATTCAAAAAATTCTGATATGTAAACTAAAATATATAATACATCAAAGTTTATTATGATTTATGTACACTCATTTATTTCCATATTAATAAAATGTCTATTCTCAAAAGTTAATGTACAACAAATTAACATCTAATAGTATTATTGTGTAAATATATTGATTTTGAATCAAATACATGGAGTGCAGTTCTATGACACAGTAGCCTGCTATGGTGACAGGGTCTGTACACAAGAAATCAGTGATGTTTCCTGATAAATATACTTGAGACACAGAGAGAAAAAAAGTACAAGACATGTTTAGGGTTCTGCATCATTTGCTGTTATTCATTGATTACTGATCTGATAATAATCCATTGTAAAGAGAGTTTAAAATATCACTTTATAAATTTAGCAGCTGTGAATTCATCCAAGACACTTCTTCAGGTTTTAGGAGCTAAACATATAAATACTGCAATTCTGGAGCCAAAAATAGGCATCTGAAAAGGTTCTACGGGTTAAAAATATTGTTAATTTAAAAATACATAGAGGAAGTAAGGGTACAAAGGAGAGAAGGAGAAAGCAAAATTGTAAAACCAAGAGCACTGGGGGCCCGGAAAATCTCAAAACTAATGCTTGAGAAACGTACAGCAATTGCAAACACCGGACAGATTTGGATCATACAGATGAGTCCTAAAAGATATGTGGCAAAAGCACATTAGAAAAGTATTGCAGACTTTACAATATGTTTTTGCTTAAAAGCTCCAGGAAACAATCTTGCTGAGGTTAACAAAACAAAATCAGAAGAATTAACATTTCTTTAAAAAGAGAGAGAAAAAAACAAAAAGAGGTATTGTTATATCTAAAAATCGATATTTGTTGATCCAAATGACCAGACTGATCTCACTGCAAAAGTAATTTTAAGTAGAAGAATCTTGAAGATGTACATAGAAAATGTTATTTTACTGTCCACCCACAAGATTTTATGAAGCTTTTCCTTTGTATACCACGATATACAGTCATTTCTAGATATGGTGGACTGATACCTCAAATACCAAAATCTTGGATTCTCACGTTTTAAAATGACATAGTTATTTGCATATAACTTATGCACTTCCTCATACATCTCTAGATTACTTATAATGCTTAATGTAATGTAAATGCTATGTGAATAGTTGTCATACTATATTGCTTTTAAATTTGTATTTTTGTTTCATTTTTTTTTTTTTTTCAAAATGTTTTCAATTCATGGTTGATTGAATCTGTGAGGATTCAGAACCAACAGGTACAGAGAGATGAAATTATTATTCTGTTTTGTTTTTGGTTTATTTATACATTTGTTTCTCATTTGTTTACTTGTTTACTTATTTTTAAAACCTCAGGTTTAGAGATTATGTGGATTTTCAGTAC